CATCCTCACCCTGAATCACTGTAACACAGAAGATTCATGACATCAGAGATCAGACTTTCTTTTACTCATCTGTCTTTCTAGAACTGAACCAAACTGCTTTTCAAATCTACATCCAGAGTCAAACCGTTTGTCACTGAGAACCGACAGTCTGCAGGTTTTCATTTCATTTTAATGACTCGGGTGAAATAAAAACCTGGAGACGGTTGGCTCTCCGTGGAACAAGATTGGACGACTGACGTAAGCTCTGCCAACGTCCTGAGAGTTAAGACAAAGAGGATCATGGTACCAACAGAGTCTGATTCACTGCAACAAAGTCACAACAACATACGCGTCTCTCACTACAACTCAACAAGAATAAAATACTTTTACTGCACTTTTTGGTGCCAAAAATCTTTATTTTTTTTATTTCCATTTTCTTTTATTTAGTGCATATTTTCTGTGACATGTCTAAATCCTTTAACCGTGTGCAGCACGTCCCTCACATAACACCAGGAACACCTTGACGTCTGATCTGCACACGTCTCTTAATTCCCTGAATTAGATTGATTTAGCCTCTGACCATGAATGTGTACGTTTGATGCACTCTTACCACCAACGACAGTTTGGGCAATTCCACTTTGACAAAAGAGGAAGAAGACAAATATCTGAGAGTATTGTCTCACTTCATTAGTGCTCAGAGCGTGGTTCACTCCATCAAAGGTTAGTTTGAACAGATCAAACCCAAGTAAAGCTGTCCTTCCTTTACTTTACTTAAACGTACTAACATATGACGTACAATGTGTAACAACTGGACATGATCTCAGTTGAAAACGTTCTAAAAAGTGCAGTAACATGATCATGAGAATGTGAAGAGGTTACAGTGGAGACGTTACGTAGAACACGTCTCTGTGTTGTGTTGCAGAGACATCTGAAGACGTGCAGAGTTTTAAGAACAGGCACTGCATCACTTCACAGGTCACAACACGGTGACCAGAGAACGACTGAATGAGACGTTCACTCTGTGTAAATATCCTACGACGTGAATGTAGAAATACAGAACCTGGTAGAGTGAGGAGGAGGACGAGGAATCCACTCGCTGCTGCTGTTAAACTCATAGCTGCTCCTCTGGATTCTCTGAGAGACTTCAGAGTCAATGAAACACGTCTGCAGGTGAAGAAGCTACATCTGGAGTAAAGGAGTCACATCAGAAACACTTCATGCGGAAGGAAGGGTGCTGTCTTGATAAGATAACTGTCGTCTGAAAGCAGAAGACTGAAGTCAAGTTATTTAAAAATACACCGAACTTCCTTCCTCTTTAGGTTATTAACATGCATGAGCCAGTAGGTTAAACTTCTCACCGTGAGAAACTAGTTCACAACACCACACTAACACATGAAAAGAGCATCTTAAGAGATCTGTTCTTCAGTGTGGTCACCGTCTAGGGTCTGAGAAATAATCCTGAGTATCTATCTGAGTATTTGAAGTATTAAAATACTGGTGAAAGGCAGAAAAAAGGTGGTTTGAAAAGAATCAATGGTACAAAAACAGGCTGAAGATAAGACTCCATTGATCCCCAGAGAGACATTCACATGTAACAGCAGCACAAGAGACGGACGAGGAAGAGGAAGGAGAAACAGAGGAAGAACTTATTTGAATGAAATTAGTGCAAAAACCGACACGTCAGCTCTTTTTAGTAGAACTACCATTATGTATTTTATTCAAGCAAGACAAAACATTCATGTAAAATCTAAATACATACAAATACAAATAGAGAAATATAAAACAGAAGCATGTAGATGAGTGTAATGAGCAGGTGAGGAAATACAAATAATTCACTAAATGAGTTTAATAACACTGATATTTGACTCCCAATAAAAGCAGTTGGTGATAAAACTGGTATAAAATAGAAAAGAGGGAAGAAGCAGAACGTGGAGGAGATATATTATAAATACATGAATGTACATTCTCTGTTATCAGTGAAATATAACTCTTTACTAATATCTAGTGGCTACAGTTGGAAACTACAACTAGATCATCAAACACATGTTCCCCTCCAACAGTAGAGCAGCAGCAACAACAAGCTGCTGACTGTCATTCACATTCAATGTGTCAGAGACCTCAGGTGAGATTTAATCACGCTGAGAAATCTTCCAGCCTTTCAAGGTCTCACTTTGAACTGTGAGGTCTGAACTGCCTCTCTGTGATCCCATCATGCACTCTGCTTTAAAGTGAACATGAAGATGTCTTTACATTGGAATGACTTTCATATCAGCGCTTTGCAGTTTTTTCCACTTCAGCATCTCTTGGTGGCACTAAACTCACTTTTTATCTCTTTTCCCAAAATCAGTCGTCGCTCCACTTTGGTCCCGAGTGAAATATCTTACCTGGATCGTCACAATAATAATAATAATCTGTCATATAAAGAACTAAAGAATAAAAAGCTTGCATATCTTCAGCAGTTTGTCATGAGTCAGTCAGTCACACAGCACCTGACCATCAGCTGATCTAAACAACACATCTAGTTTGTGACCTCGACATGATTCAGTTCAAGCTGCCAACACCTCGTTCTTCTAAATCTTCTCTAAACCGACTGACAAGAACAACTTTTGGGAGCTTTGTGTCTCCACTTCCTCCACATCCTGCACAGCCTCGCTCTCCACACTCATATCTCAACGTCGTACTTCTTTGTTTCCATCACGTGAGTCTCGCCTCTGGTTCAACCGCATCTGAAGAAAATCACAGAACACTTGTGTGAAGTTACCGTCAGGAGCTGTGGCTCTGACTCTGAAGTCGTCCCGTTTCATTGGACGCAGCAGGAGGCTCTAAGCTGACTGACCTTCACACCCGGTCTTCCTGCTCCTCTGAGTCTTCTGTCTGTGCTGCAGTGTTTGAGTCGTTCTCGTACTCAGGACAAGAGTCCAACTGATGGAGAGAGACGACAAGATGAGAGTCAATGGACCTGCATTCATTTACATTTCATCAAAAATGTATTTGAGCACGTATAAAAGTACTTTATTTTCTTAAGTTGTGTTACGGACAAATGCATCACTGGTTTCTACTCATCAAGATGTGTTTAAAACATGAATTCACTTCACATCTTCTTCACTTTGCAGAGCGTTTATGAGCCGACTTATAACCACAAAGGGGAGGTTGAGTCAACAGGGCCTCTCTCTCTCACCTCTATCTCTACAGGTTCATGTGGTTCAGTGGTGGAGCTCAGAGCTTTCTTCTTCCTGTAGTGAGTCCAACAACAAATACAGAATGAACCACAATACAAGTCACGACACTAAAACTACAGGACTGAAGTGATTGATGTGTTTTTGTTGAACCTCGTCCACAGAATCAGGAGCAGCAGAGGAATCAGCATCAAGACCACCAAAGTCGACCGGATGATATTCATGATCATTGTTGAATATCCTAGAAATACAAACAGAATTTAACCTGAGAATCAGGTCTGACGCAGTAAACAGGTGTGTTTGTGTGATGCTGAATGTGGAGAACTTACCTGATACAACAGTCAGATGTAAGGAGGAGTTACTACGTCCTCTCATGTTCTGGGCTTCACAGTAATAACTCCCACTGTGTTCAGCTCTGAAGTCAGTGATGTTGAAGATCTGTCCTGATGCTTTTGGTGAGTCTTCATCCTCCTTGTACCAGGTGTAGTTAGCTGCTGGGTTAGCATCACTGCTACAGGTCAGAGTCACTGAACTGCCCTCCACTATCTCAGCAGAGGGACTCACTGACACAGAGGGAAGCTTTGGAGCATCTGGAGGAGAAAAGAATAAACATGAGAATGTTATGATAAAACATAGTCAGTTTAATTTGTTAATAGTTTGCATGTTCAAGAGAACTATTTATTCAGGAAGACATTAAAGAATTTTAATAATTGACTGTTGCCGCTGTCCAGAGTGCTGATTCAGGAGCTTCAATTTAAAGTTAAAGTTCAACCCCAAATTAAAAATACATATTTCCTTTTCCCTGTAGTTCTATCTATTCATCTAGATTGTTTTGGTGTGAGTTGCATCATGTTGGAGATTTCGTACGTTTAGATGTCTGTCTCCTCTTCAATATAATGGAACTAAATGCCACTCGGCTTGTTATGCTCAAGTGACAACAAATACATATGAAAAATTAAACAGCAATGTCTCTTTCCAGAAATCATAACCCGGTTACTCAAGTTAATCCACAGTTCCATGTCGGAACCATTCCTGTTGATTTGGGGTTGAACTTTCCCTTTCACCGTGGTCAAAAGGATTTTTCAGAGTCTGTTTCTGATGGCGTTTTCTGCACTTCTAGCAGTAGAGTAACATCATTTCCTTTTTTTCTGGGTAAAACTATCCCACATTCATATTTGTGTGGAGGTAATAAAACAAGGCTTTGAAGGATTGAAAATGAATGTTCATGTTAAAGAGGAACTAAAGATGTGTAAGAGCTGAAACATGTTTGGGTGAAACTCACACACTGAAGGAGAGGAGAACATCTTGTGTCCTTTTATGGCACAAGAATAGTTGTCTGCAGGATTTAGTGGGTGTGGATGAAAATAAACTTTTACTTCCTTCCTTTTCTCTCCATTCTGGTACCAGATGTAAGACACATCTTTAGGCAGCTGACACTTAGACTGACATGTCAGCTCTGTCCAGGTAGAATTCAGTGTTGATCTCCTCACATTTATCTGGAGCTGTGGATCTGTGATTAACCAACAGAGACGGTAATTTAAAATCCACTATTGACACACACAAAGAAAGAGGAAAGAAAAACACAAGCTGATAGTAATGTTTCTTATCAAACATTTGAAAAGCAAATGTTACCTGTGACCGACAAAGTGACTCCAGGTGAACCAGTATATTTCCCACCTCGTTTGTTTGTCATGAATCTGAACTTGTACTCAGCTGAGTCGCTCTCTCTCAGGTCTCTGATTCTCAGAGTGCACTTCTTCTCATA